CCCCCCCCCCCCCCCACCTCCGCCCCTCTTTGCCCTCTGCGCACGCTCCGGCAGCACGACGCCCTGTCTAGTGAAATGCCTATCTCACAGGATTATGGCGAGGCCAAGGTTCCATATATAGGGGACCTCTCCGCTCCGGCTGCCCCAGAGTGCGTAAGTGGCGATGGTGGTGGAGAAAGAGGGGGGGGGGGAGCAGGACCAGGACCCTGGGGGCGGCGCTGTGAGGCAGGGCGTCAATGCCAGATGGGGCTTCAGAAACGTCATTAAGATCCGTTCCAGAGATCGAACGGACCGAACGGAGTGCGACGGGCAATGGCGGAGACGAAGGCAGGAATTTTAAAACAGAGTGTGAACGAAATGAGAAAGAGAAAGGAAAGCAAGTCACTTCACTTTCTGTCGTCGGAAATGGCGCGACTCCGGTCGAGTCGGTCCCTCTCGATGACAGCCCCGCTGCCGTTTCCGCTCCGAAGCGTCGCCCTATTACGGAACTCATTCCGAAACATTAATGAACGCCGTCCGTCATTTTATTAATCACGACTGCCGTTTGATTTCATCCTCTCGAGGAGCAGAGAGACACGGGCAGCCATACGACTTCGCGACTTTCTCGTTTCGTTTGGTTATTTCTTTTCTTGAAACAATTTTGTTTTTGTTTTTTCGGTGGGGGGTGAGGGGTGGGTGAACAAGCGTTGCGACGGCCATGGACAGCGCAGACGTGATCACATGGCATTGGGATGGTGTGAAAGTTTGATCCGACTGGGCGATGCAGAGCTGAGCGGGCTGTGATTGCCTCTGTTTGGCTCATCACAGACCGCCTCTCTGATCTCCACCACCACCACCACTTCTCGACCACCACCACTACCTCCTCCTCTTACTCTTCCACCACCACCACCACCACCACTACCACCATCCGTCGACGCTGCCACACCACCACCGCCCCTTCCACTCCCTTCTTCAATCTGGTCTGGTGACAGCGCTGGGGCAGCAGCAAGTTCAAGGGAACCTGTCTGCACTGTCATCGACACAGACATGCCGGGGCTGGGCCTGGAGGGGGAGAAGGGCGGACACGCATGGCCGGCTGTGAGGCGAGGACGAGGGAGGACTGGGTCACCTCGGGCTCGGAAGGAGGCCAGCCCGGCCCAGCGGCCGCGGCCGACGACCAGAGGACCCTCCGTTAGCTCAGTTCAGCGCTGCTTGACTCTGCGCTGAGCCGTAAAAGTGTTGTGCCAGCCGACCACGGCCGCCAGGGTCGGAGACGTCGGAGACAAAGGGCACATCAGGGTGCGTGGCCAGGCCCACCGCCGCGCCGCCCCCGAGACCGACCCCCCGGCCCCCGCCCTTCGGCCAGGCTCTACCGGGGTCCTACGAGGGTCCTACCAGGACCAGGGTCCTACCCCCCTCACTTCCAAACTGTCGATCAGTGTATCCGGATAGGGGGCGGCGGCGGAGCAGCTGGGGGCGGCGTGTAGCCCGGGGGGGGGGGGGGTGAGTGGGTGAGTTACAGCACCCCTTCCCCTCAGCCCTTCTCTTTTTTTTTTCGCAAACGGCTATCGAGTTGCGACTGCAACACAATCAGGGACGATCGGGAGCAGTGCGCGGGGAAGGGAGGCTGAGGTGGGCTGTGCCCGGCTGTCTGTGCCCCCCGCCCCAACCATACTGTCTCGCTTTTCCCTCGCGTTCCTAAAATCGCTATTGTTAATAAGGATTAAAATGTGTGTTTCCTGTGACATCGACTACATTTCTGACAAGAACCGGGTGTTTCGGCAAATCTGCCGGCACCGGCGGGTAGTCAGGAAACACTCGGTACGGTGGATTGTATCAAAATTATGATTGTGTATTACATTGCTCAAGATTTAGACCGCGATAAGTGGTCCAAACTGATATCTGGGTGAGCCAGCCCGGGGAACTTTAACGTTATCAGATGCGAAGTGGCGAAAACACCGCAGGGAAGATTCCAACCAACTTTTTTACTCGCGGGTGGTGTGGCTTCCGAGGCCTCTGAGCTTTGGGTGGAGCTATATAGCACACCCCCCCCCCCCAGCTCTCACATCCCCCGCTTATCGTTTCGGCCTTTACTGCTGCCTGAGGTGAGGTCCCAGAGGAGGACCTTGGGCGGGTCCGGGTCGGTCGGAGCTCGTAAAAAACTGGGGAGGAGGTTCTGGAGGGCACGAGCAAAGAACCCCCGCACCGGGCCGGGGCGGCGGCGTCGACACGAGACGACATCGTCGAATTACTATACACCACGGCCTACACGGGCTCTTACTTTGTTGTAGAGCTCGACGGTGATGGAGGCCGCCTACTCGTGCCAGTGGTACGACGGCTCCGAGGAGGTCAAGACGTTCGTGCAGATCGTGTGCCAGCAGTGCCAGAAGAACCTGGTCGTGTCGGGGGCCCGCTTCTTCACCGTGTCGCTCGACTTGTTCGCCTCTGTGAGTACTCACCACCTGCTGGCCGGTGGCGGCGTTGGGCAAGAGGGCATGGTAAAAGGGGTCTCAAACGCGACACGTCTCTTTGTTCAACAGGTGCTAGGAGCCATGGTGACGTACTTCATGGTGTTGATCCAGCTCAACTAGGGAGGACGGGGAGAAGAGGGGGAGGGTCAAGGGGGCGGCGGCATGCGGCGTGGAGAGCATGGGGTCCATGCAAGCAGGAGGGTGCCGCCCGGTGGAGAGGAGGGCAGGTGCCCGGTGAACGAAAAGCTCAGGGAACTGGGGAGATTTATGGATATTTTCAGGGTAGTGGGGGTGAGATCACGACGTTTTAAGCACACCTGTTCTATTGTGATAATGTTAGCTATTTTTGAAAATCCACGTTTTTTGTTGTTGTTTTGAAGTGTTGTATTATTATAGATTTAGGTGTAAGGGGATGACCGTGCGAAATTCCAGTGACAAATAGCACTTGAATCGGCATCGAAATGTCAACCAAACAAGGTCGAAATGGCGGAATCGACGTCGAAACGATATAGTTCGATATGAGTTGCTTACTGGGATGGTCTTGCGTTTTTTGCACTTTTTAAATCATATTTTGACTTTTACAATCATAAAGCAAGTATGATTATGGGAAATGCGTCTCACATAACGCTGTTGCCTGGGGTAGGGGTAAGTTTAAAACTGTCACCTCTAATTCTTCTTACGTAGTCCTGACTAGCACTTCTTTTGAGGCACGACATGTTATTTTAGTATTAGTAATAATATTTGCATGTAATATATTCTGTTTGCTGTGTGAGGACAGTGATAGTGTTTCGTAATGGTCTTCACGCTTTTCTTACTTAAGGTTTGTAAATTTAGAAAATTCAAGTCAATGCATTTTAGGCAGGCAAGTGTTATTACGTATACCGGGTGATCCAGAGAACACGCAGGTGCCGGTGGGTTTGCCTACCCGCTCTGCCCGTAAGGCGCCAAACCCTCTTGGGTAGGCAAACCCGCCCGCACCTGCGTCTTCCCTGAATCGCCCGGTACATAACGTCAAACTGTAGATGAATGCAATAAGTTGTCAGAATTTATAAGATTTCACTTCAGCTACGTGATATATTGGCATATTTCCAGGGTTATAAATCATTTGAAGCTAGTAGTAATGCTACCTAGTACTTTTTGAAACTTGTAGTCGTTTCACAACTCTAGCGGAAAAAAAAACATGTGATGCAGAGGAGACAAGTGTGTTTAAGTCTAAGCATGCAGGCATGCAGACAGTATGTTGACTGGCAACTAGTTTTGTTTAAGTATTGTGTTAGAATAATTAAGGATGAGAAGGAATCTTCTCCTACAATAGAGTGAGCCTTTACATGGTAATTTTCTTACAATCACATTATTAAAAAGTCTTGTTTTCTTTTTACTTAAGAAATAAATACAGATAAGAGTGTTGTGAATAAGAGGTTGGGCCGTTTGGGCGCTTCGATGGATTACAAGAATAGAAATAAAAGTAATCTGTAAGATCAACAAAGACTTTGTGCGCCGTTCCCTTGTTGGGGTGTTTCCCTTCACAACAGAAAGTTAAAGTTGACTCGTCTCATCTACCAGCTACCTTCCTTGCGTGCCCCATCACCATTTTATCAGGCGCTCCCCTTTATTTTGCTCATTTTGCTACTGAGCTGACTGCAGTATGGGCGGAACCAACTGGACTCGACATCCCCTCCTCCCCATCTCTCTCCCTCTTTCTCCCTCACCCCCACCCCCTTGCTGTATTCTCTCCGCCTTATTTACATCACAGGATTGTTCGCTGCGCCTGACACGCCACGCCACGCTCCGCCTCGTCGGCCTAGTCTCGAACAGCCTACTGGCCAAAACTTTGGGATGTGGGTCGCTACGCGCCGCCACACCAAGCAAAGGGGATGGGGACTGGGGGGGGGGGGGGGG